TGGTTGTGTGCTGGTTGTGTGCTGGTTGTGTGCTGGTTGTGTGCTGGTTGTGTGCTGGTTGTGTGCTGGTTGTGTGCTGGTTGTGTGGTGGTTGTGTGGTGGTTGTGTGCTGGTTGTGTACTGGTTGTGTGATGGTTGTGTGCTGGTTGTGTGCTGGTTGTGTGCTGGTTGTGTGATGGTTGTGTGCTGGTTTTGTGCTGGTTGTGTGCTGGTTGTGTGCTGGTTGTGTGCTGGTTGTGTGATGGTTGTGTGGTGGTTGTGTGCTGGTTGTGTGCTGGTTGTGTGCTGGTTGTGTGGTGGTTGTGTGGTGGTTGTGTGGTGGTTGTGTGGTGGTTGTGTGCTGGTTGTGTGGTGGTTGTGTGCTGGTTTGCTGGTTGTGCGATGGTTGTGTGCTGGTTGTGTGCTGGTTGTGTGCTGGTTGTGTGCTGGTTGTGTGATGATTGTGTGCTGGTTGTGTGCAGGTTGTGTGCTGGTTGTGCGATGGTTGTGTGCTGGTTGTGTGCTGGTTGTGTGCTGGTTGTGTGCTGGTTGTGTGCTGGTTGTGTGCTGGTTGTGTGTTGGTTGTGTGCTGGTTGTGTGCTGGTTGTGTGATGGTTGTGTGCTGGTTGTGTGATGGTTGTGTGATGGTTGTGTGATGATTGTGTGCTGGTTGTGTGCTGGTTGTGTGCTGGTTGTGCGATGGTTGTGTGCTGGTTGTGTGCTGGTTGTGTGCTGGTTGTGTGCTGGTTGTGTGCTGGTTGTGTGCTGGTTGTGTGCTGGTTGTGTGATGGTTGTGTGCTGGTTGTGTGCTTGTTGTGTGGTGGTTGTGTGCTGGTTGTGTGATGGTTGTGCGATGGTTGTGTGCTGGTTGTGTGCTGGTTGTGTGCTGGTTGTGTGCTGGTTGTGTGCTGGTTGTGTGCTGGTTGTGTGCTGGTTGTGTGCTGGTTGTGTGCTGGTTGTGTGCTGGTTGTGTGATGGTTGTGTGCTGGTTGTGTGCTGGTTGTGTGATGGTTGTGTGCTGGTTGTGTGATGGTTGTGTGATGGTTGTGTGATGGTTGTGTGATGGTTGTGTGCTGGTTGGGTGCTGGTTGTGTGCTGGTTGTGTGCTGGTTTTGTGCTGGTTGTGTGCTGGTTGTGTACTGGTTGTGTGATGGTTGTGTGCTGGTTGTGTGCTGGTTGTGTGCTGGTTGTGTGCTGGTTGTGTGCTGGTTGTGAGCTGGTTGTGTGGTGGTTTTGTGCTGGTTGTGTGATGGTTGTGTGATGGTTGTGTGCTGGTTGTGTGCTGGTTGTGTGCTGGTTGTGTGGTGGTTGTGTGGTGGTTGTGTGGTGGTTGTGTGCTGGTTGTGTGCTGGTTGTGAGCTGGTTGTGTGCTGGTTGTGCGATGGTTGTATGCTTGTTGTGTGCTGGTTGTGTGCTGGTTGTGTGCTGGTTGTGTGCTGGTTGTGCGATGGTTGTGTGCTGGTTGTGTGCTGGTTGTGTGCTGGTTGTGTGCTGGTTGTGTGCTGGTTGTGTGCTGGTTGTGTGCTGGTTGTGTGCTGGTTGTGTGCTGGTTGTGTGCTGGTTGTGTGCTGGTTGTGTGATGGTTGTGTGCTGGTTGTGTGCTGGTTGTGTGGTGGTTGTGTGGTGGTTGTGTGGTGGTTGTGCGATGGTTGTGTGCTGGTTGTGTGCTGGTTGTGTGCTGGTTGTGTGCTGGTTGTGTGCTGGTTGTGTGCTGGTTGTGTGCTGGTTGTGTGCTGGTTGTGTGCTGGTTGTGTGCTGGTTGTGTGCTGGTTGTGTGCTGGTTGTGTGCTGGTTGTGTGCTGGTTGGTTGTGTGATGGTTGTGTGATGGTTGTGTGCTGGTTGTGTGCTGGTTGTGTGCTGGTTGTGTGCTGGTTGTGTGCTGGTTGTGTGCTGGTTGTGTGCTGGTTGTGTGCTGGTTGTGTGATGGTTGTGTGCTGGTTGTGTGCTGGTTGTGTGCTGGTTGTGTGCTGGTTGTGTGCTGGTTGTGTGCTGGTTGTGTGCTGGTTGTGTGCTGGTTGTGTGGTGGTTGTGTGATGGTTGTGTGCTGGTTGTGTGGTGGTTGTGTGGTGGTTGTGTGGTGGTTGTGTGCTGGTTGTGCGATGGTTGTGTGCTGGTTGTGTGCTGGTTGTGTGATGGTTGTGTGCTGGTTGTGTGCTGGTTGTTTGATGGTTGTGTGATGGTTGTGTGCTGGTTGTGTGCTGGTTGTGTGATGGTTGTGTGCTGGTTGTGTGCTTGTTGTGTGGTGGTTGTGTGCTGGTTGTGTGATGGTTGTGCGATGGTTGTGTGCTGGTTGTGTGCTGGTTGTGTGCTGGTTGTGTGCTGGTTGTGTGCTGGTTGTGTGCTGGTTGTGTGCTGGTTGTGTGCTGGTTGTGTGCTGGTTGTGTGCTGGTTGTGTGATGGTTGTGTGCTGGTTGTGTGCTGGTTGTGTGATGGTTGTGTGCTGGTTGTGTGATGGTTGTGTGATGGTTGTGTGATGGTTGTGTGATGGTTGTGTGCTGGTTGGGTGCTGGTTGTGTGCTGGTTGTGTGCTGGTTTTGTGCTGGTTGTGTGCTGGTTGTGTACTGGTTGTGTGATGGTTGTGTGCTGGTTGTGTGCTGGTTGTGTGCTGGTTGTGTGCTGGTTGTGTGCTGGTTGTGTGCTGGTTGTGTGCTGGTTGTGTGCTGGTTGTGTGTTGGTTGTGTGGTGGTTGTGTGGTGGTTGTGTGCTGGTTGTGTACTGGTTGTGTGATGGTTGTGTGCTGGTTGTGTGCTGGTTGTGTGCTGGTTGTGTGATGGTTGTGTGCTGGTTGTGTGCTGGTTGTGTGCTGGTTGTGTGCTGGTTGTGTGCTGGTTGTGTGATGGTTGTGTGCTGGTTGTGTGCTGGTTGTGTGCTGGTTGTGTGCTGGTTGTGTGATGGTTGTGCGATGGTTGTGTGCTGGTTGTGTGCTGGTTGTGTGCTGGTTGTGTGCTGGTTGTGTGCTGGTTGTGTGCTGGTTGTGTGCTGGTTGTGTGGTGGTTGTGTGGTGGTTGTGTGCTGGTTGTGTACTGGTTGTGTGATGGTTGTGTGCTGGTTGTGTGCTGGTTGTGTGCTGGTTGTGTGATGGTTGTGTGCTGGTTGTGTGCTGGTTGTGTGCTGGTTGTGTGCTGGTTGTGTGCTGGTTGTGTGATGGTTGTGTGCTGGTTGTGTGGTGGTTGTGTGCTGGTTGTGTGCTGGTTGTGTACTGGTTGTGTGATGGTTGTGTGCTGGTTGTGTGCTGGTTGTGTGCTGGTTGTGTGATGGTTGTGTGCTGGTTGTGTGCTGGTTGTGTGCTGGTTGTGTGCTGGTTGTGTGCTGGTTGTGTGATGGTTGTGTGCTGGTTGTGTGCTGGTTGTGTGCTGGTTGTGTGCTGGTTGTGTGCTGGTTGTGTGCTGGTTGTGTGCTGGTTGTGTGCTGGTTGTGTGCTGGTTGTGTGCTGGTTGTGTGCTGGTTGTGTGATGGTTGTGTGCTGGTTGTGAGCTGGTTGTGTGATGGTTGTGTGATGGTTGTGTGCTGGTTGTGAGCTGGTTGTGTGCTGGTTGTGTGATGGTTGTGTGCTGGTTGTGAGCTGGTTGTGTGCTGGTTGTGTGATGGAGCACATGCACTCAAGGTGAGGGGAAGAGGCGGTGCAGCGCATTGCAATGCTGTGCAGGGGGGGGAGACTGGCCTCGTCAGCAATGAAGTGCACAAAGTAGGGCAGCAGCGCGTGCAGCCCCGCATCCACCGCCACACTGCGCAGCGCGTGCCACAGCACACTCTGCTGCTGGTGCTGCTGCCCCCCTGCAGTGGCAGCAGCGGAGGCGGCGGGGGCAGGGGGGCGGGCAGTGAGCAGCACGAGCTCGGTGACCTGCTCGAAGTAGAGCTGGCCGGGCCAGGGTGCGTGGGGAGGGGGGGTGGTGCGGGGACGGGGAGAAGGCAGAGTGGGAGGTGTTAAAGAGAGGGTTGGAGTAAGAATGCAAAGGAGTGAGCAACAAGAACCAGGACGAGACAAAGCGACCAAGGGAATGCAAAAGGAGGGGCTTCCTGGGTGTCTGTGTGCAGGGCTGCTAAGTTGGAAAAAACGCTAGTTTCAAGTTGCGTATTGAGTTTATACGCATCTAGAATTCGTACGCTGCGGATTTTTCTAAAATTCGCCAAATTCGGCTCGGGCTAACCGGAAAAAAAAAATCAGATGAGTTCGCGATCTGAGTTCGCGCGTTGCTAAAGCAACTTCAGATCTGAATTTCGAGATTGTTGGTGGATCATTCCCTCTTATCCACCGCTCACAACCCACCTTCACCCCATCCAATTTGTTGCCAACTTCTACTAGACTCACTCAATGTCAGGCCGCTTTTCCCTTCAATAATCTTTGCCTTCGATTTCTTCCTCTTCACTTCGACGATGACCTACTACAGCAGCAGTTAGGTAATGGATTACTACAGCAGCAGTTAGGTAATGGATTACTACAGCAGCAGTTAGGTAATGGATTACTACAGCAGCAGTTAGGTAATGGATTACTACAGCAGCAGTTAGGTAATGGATTACTACAGCAGCAGTTAGGTAATGGATTACTACAGCAGCAGTTAGGTAATGGATTACTACAGCAGCAGTTAGGTAATGGATTACTACAGCAGCAGTTAGGTAATGGATTACTACAGCAGCAGTTAGGTAATGGATTACTACAGCAGCAGCAGCAGCTCCGGTTTCCATCTCTTGGTCGAATTTTTTTTTCCTGCCCGGGGATTTTTTTTTCCTGCCCGGGCAAGCGGATTCTTGTGCGTACCAGACCCCTCCCGGCCAGCGTTTTGCGTTTAGACGCTAGCGTTTATACGAAAGCGTACAAAACGCGAAACGCGTTTTTTTCAACTTAGCAGGGCTGAACTGACTGACCAATGGAAAAAATGTGGGAGTTGAGCAAAACAGGGAGGCGTAGGAAACAGGGATGGTAACGAGAATCGATGTGCAACGGGAGGCGGGGTGCATGTGAGAGGCAGGAGGAGGGAAGGAGGGCGAGGGCGGCACCTGCAGCTCCTTGGAGAGCACGTGCTTACCTGCAGCTCCTTGGAGAGCACATGCTTACCTGCAGCTCCTTGGAGAGCACGTGCTTCACCGGCAACTTCACCTCCACCACCTCCCCCCCGCCTGCCCCCCCACCTGGCCCTCCCCCTGCTCGCTGTGCGCCGCCCTCTGCTGCCCGCCCCGCCTCCGCCTTCACTGCTGCTGCCGGCATGCCTGCGGGCCACAGGGCGGGAGGGGGGACGAAGCATGTGAGGGTGGGTGGGTGGCAGTTACGGGCAGGCAGCGGAGTGCTGCGCACACGGCAGCTGAGGCACAGTGCTGCGCACACGGCAGCTGAGGCACAGTGCTGGCGAGGCACAGTACTGGCGAGGCACAGTGCTGGCGAGGGAGCCGTGCATGGCATGGGATGGGACGCACGGGCCTTCAAAGGGGATGTGCATGCTTGCACGGACCACATGGCACCCTCGCCTCGCCTTGCCTGGCCATGCCTTGCCTGGCCTCGCCTTGCCTGGCCTCGCCTTGCCTGGCCATGCCTTGCCTGGCCTCGCCTTGCCTGGCCATGCCTTGCCTGGCCTCGCCTTGCCTGGCCATGCCTTGCCTGGCCTCGCCTTGCCTGGCCTCGCTCAGTGAGCCACTCACCCCACCCCTCCCACACTACAGCCGCTGTGCTGCGTCGTCATGGTCCCCCACCGCACCTGCGTCGTCATGCTCCCCCACTGCACCTGCGTTGGTCCCTTAACCACTCAGCCCTCTCCCAACCCAGCAGCACCACCAACCCCATCGCCCCATGCCACACCGCATCCCACCACTGTACATCCCCTTCCCTCTCCCCCCCCCCCCCCCCACCTGCGGGCGGGGCGTTCTCAGGGGTGGCGGGCATGGTGCCGTCCACGGCCAGCCAGTGCGGCGCCACACTCACGTCCACCGGGGCGCACGGCAGCCCCGCCTCCACCACCTGTGATGTCAGGCACCGCGCACCGGGGGCAGGGGACAGGGGGGGCGCCCAGGCTCGCACGTGGTGAGACGCGTGGCGCGGGCAGGCATGCGGAGAGCGATGGTGCGGGCAGTGGAAGGAAGGGACAGCACAGGACAAGTGCCGTTGCCGAGAAGCTTCAGCTCAGTTGGTGCATGGCAAGTGGAAACCACAAGGCGCGGCAGGCATGGCAGCGGCATGGTGACAGTCCATGTGCGACATGGTGACAGTCCATGTGCGACAGGTGAGCAAGTGAGCGGTGTGTGAAAGTGAACGGGCGACCTGGGAGAGCGGCAGCGTGGGGTCGTGCAGGAAGACGACGTCGCTGTGCCCCACTGCCCGCCGGAACCGCACGCTGTCCGCCGCTGCCAGCCCAAACAGCGGCTGCCACGCCCCAGAGGAGGGGTAGGAAGAGGAAGGGGGGGGAAGATGAGGGAGGTGAATGCAGAGGAGTGGAGCGCGTGCGAGAGTGCCATGTGTGGGGCGGGGAGGAGTGCTGGCCAGCAGCAGCATGCGTGCGAGGCAGCAGCACACCTGACAGCAGCACACCTGACAGCAGCAGGGCTCACCTCGACGTTCCGCAGGCTGAGGGCGGCCGCGATGTCCGCCGTGGTGAGGGTGGTGCGCCGGCTGTGCCGCATGCACTTCACCGCCTCCTGCGCACCACACGGCGGGCGGGCGTGGTATGGTGGGCGGGGATGGCTTAGTGAGTGAGCCTAGGGAGACAGAGGAGCGAGGAAACGGGAGCAGCGGTTGTGAGAGGTCTACGCTGAGCGATGCTGGGAGTCGCCTGCGACTATGCGACGGCTGCGAGTACGCGCGCATGCGACCTCGCCCCGCACCCGCGCCGTTGTGCTACTTCCTCCCCCACCCACGCGGTCCCGCCCACCCACGGCCCCACCCTTGCCCATGCGGCCGTGCCTGGATAATCTCGCGCATGCGGTACTCCACGTCAGGCGCCAGCGCGGCAGCCACGTCATCGCCGAGACTCGCGATGCCGATGCTGTGCGCCGCCACTTGCACGCTCTCCCGCGGCACCACGCTCATCGCGCCCGCCGCCCGCCACCCGCCGCCCCTCGCTGCTAGTCACGCGCTGCTCGTCGCCCTCGACCGCCACTAGCAGTGGCCCCTCTAGAACTGGTCGCCGCGCTCAGGTCAAACAGTGTTAGTCACTATGCTGCACGCTATTTAGGTTTTGTTCTAATAACACACACTACCCGATTATGCTTCTACTGAGGCGCTACGGTATCGCGAGGAAATGCATTTTCCTTGCGGAAAATGTGCAAATGTGTTATGGTGCAATGGAACAAGAAAACGAGGTACAAAGTATGAGGGTAGGCATGAGCGAATACTTATACGCGAAACAAGCAAACGGTAACGCGGTGTCAAATGTTGTAGCCTGTAGTGAGGTTTGTCTTAGGGGGTACAGAAGTTAGGGTTTGTTATATGTACCCCAACCAACATCAATGGAACCATTCATTCCTCATTCTGACATGGTATCAGCTAGGTTAGGATCCTGTGGGATCCCGTTCCTCCGTTCTCCGTTCGTACCTCCCGAGCCTGATCCTACCTCTCGTTCGTACCAGTTCCGTTGTTACCGCGCCTAGTACCGAGCCTAGCGCCCTTTCCCCCGTCGCTTAGCGCCCTTTCTCCCCGTCGCCTCGCGCCCTTTCCCCTCCCCCCCGTCGCGTCGCGCCCTTTCCCCCCGTCGCGTCACGCCCTTTCCCCCCCGTCGCGTCGCGCCCGTTCCCCCCGTCGCGTCGTGCCCGCCTGTTCCCCCCCCCGTCCCGTCGCCCTGTCCCGTCGCGTCACCCTACCCCGTCGCGTCGCCCTGCCCCGTCCCGTCGCCCTGCCCAGTCGCGTCGCCCTGCCCCGTCCCGTCGCCCTGCCCCGTCGCGCCGCCCTGCCCCGTCGCGTCGCCCTGTGCCGTCGCGTCGCCCTGCCCCGTCGCGTCGCTCCCGCCCTTTCTCCCGTCGCGTCGCCCTGCCCTACGCCCTGGCCCGTCGCCCTACCCTAGGCCCTGGCCCGTCGCCCTACCCTAGGCCCTGGCCCGTCGCCCTCCCTAAGCCCTGGCCCGTCGCCCTACCCTAAGCCCTGGCCAGTCGCCCTACCCTAGGCCCTGGCCCGTCGCCCTACCCTAGGCTCTGGCCCGTTGCCCTCCCTACGTCCTGGCCCGTCGCCCTAGCCCGCTCTTCCGCTGCAACTGAGTCCTCTTCCCCCCCGGTTCTTACTCGCCTGTTCGTTCGCTTTAGTTCTCACTATGGCGACTCCGCGAGTTCTTCGTTTCGACGCTGACGGTAGACCACTTGACTTTTCCGTCTGGCTTCTTCGCGCTCGCCGTCTGTTAGAGAGTCAGGTCCAAGGGGGCGAGACCCTCTGGTCACACGCTACTGGTGACCTCCCCGAGCCCCCCGAGCCTACAGCTTTAGGCCCTGCTCCTGACGACGCTGCTACGGCTCGCTTTGCCCGTCAGCGCGCTGACCGGACGGCTTGGACGTCGCGTGACGCTGCAGCCTGCATCGCACTCAGCAGCCTCCTCCCTGAGTCTGAGGAGGTCCACTTTACTCAGGTTCGCACCGCTGCTGCGTACCTCACTGCGATTAAGGCCCGCTACTCTACTCCCGCCACTGTCTCTCTTGGCCGTCTTTTCCTCCCGTTCCTGTTTCCTGATCTTGCCTCGTTTGAGCGCTCTGCTGACTTGATCGCTCACCTCCGCTCGCTCGACGCTAGTTACCGCGCTGCTTGCACTGAGGCACAGCTTGCACTGCTTCCTCCCCCCATGGCGATCACTGTCTATTTCATCGCCACTAGCCTCCCTGACCGCCTTGCCTCCGTTCGTGACGCGCTTCTGCTGAAGCACCCTAGTGAGCTGACTATCGAGGTCCTTGAGTCTGCACTCAAGGACGTCGAGAGCAACCTTCGTTCGGTAGCTGCCGCCTCTGGTACTGTGTCCCCCCCACTCTTCCACGGGTGCACAGTACCGCAGTTACCCACCTTCACTGCCTCTCTTGCCACTGCCGCTACTGACGCGACTGCGGCTGCTGTTACGACTGCGTCGCGGTCCCGCGGCAGGGGGGGCAAGAAAGGTGGTTCTAGTGGAGGTGGAGGCGGAGGTAGCGGAGGTAGTGGGGGTGCTGTTGCGACTGGCGGTGGTGGGAGTGCAGCGTCTGGAGAGACCCCTCGTGCAGCGGCTGGTGACTCCACTGCACCTGCTGGTGGCGGCGACCCCCGAGCTCGTCAGTCGCCTCCTGTACTGCCGGCCCCACTAGGTGGAGCAGCGGCGTGGTACCAGGCTCAGCGTCAGCAGCACCTTCAGCAGCCCCTTTCCTCCCAGCAGCCTCAGCAGCAGCAGCGTCAGCAGCTGGCTCCGGGGTCGAGGCTGCGTCAGCCCCAGCGCGGTGCGGCTTACCCTCCCTGCCCCTACCAGGTTCAGACAGGTCCTCGTCGGGGCCACCCTTGTGACCGCTTTCACCCCCCTGGTCAGTGCTTTGCTCAGCTCACTGACACGGTCCGGTTGACCTACGGGGTTGGCGGTCCTGCTCCTGACTGGCTTCCTCTGGTTCAGCGCTACGGCTCCGCTCTGTGGGGCATGTCTGCTGAGCAGTTAGTTGATCTGATTAGTGCTCCTCATGCTATGTATGCTGTTGTTGACTCTAGTGTTTCTGACTCTGTTTACTCTGGTGTTGTTAGCTTAGGTGCTAGTCTTGCTCAGTTGCGTGTTGCTAGTGTAGGTACTTGTGTAGACTCTAGACCAGCGACTACCTCAGACGACGCTTCGCTGTCGTTCACACTGGACTCTGGAGCCTCCCACTGCTTCTTCCGGGACAGCACGACACTTACACCACTTCCTGCGCCTGTTTCTGTAGCGTTGGCTGATCCCACTACGGGACCAGTCACTGCACGTCACACTACCACTTTACCGTGTCCTGCTGCTCCCTCCGGATCTCTCACTGGGTTTCACGTCCCCTCGTTCTCCCGGAACTTGGTGGGCGTGCGACCCCTCGTGAGTCAGCACGTGGGTGTGTGGTTTGAGCCTTCTGGAGAGACTGCGGTGTGTGTTGACGGAGACTCTTACCAGCCTCTTGCTACCTTTACTGCTGAGCCGGGCTCGGGTCTCTACACTCTTCACACTGGCCCGCGTGCGCCGCAGCAGCAGCCGCAGCAGCAGCAGCAGCCGCAGCCGCAGCAGCAGCAGCAGCAGCACCAGCGGCCGCACCAGCAGCCCCACCTACTGCCACTGCCCCCGGTTCCCCCCCCCGTTCGGGTCCCCGCGTCTCACCAGGTTGCTTCGTCCCCCCAGGTGTCTGTGTCGTGTCAGGTTCCTACGTCTGTTCCAGTCGCTGCGTCGTGCTCCTGCCGGTCGCTTGCCCACCCCACCGTTCTGTGGCACCACCGGATGGGGCACCCGTCCCTTCCTCGTCTGCGCGCTATGTCTAGTCAGCGTCTTGTCCTAGGCCTCCCACGTGTCTTGCCGTCGCTGCCGCCTTCGCTTGCGCCGCCGTGTCGTCCCTGCGTCGAGGGTAGGCTGCGCGCCACCCCTCACTCCTCCTCCCTCCGTCCGGCCACCGAGCCTTTTGAGACGCTTCACTTGGACGTCTGGGGCCCCGCCCCTCGTCTAGGCCCTGAGCGTGAGCGTTACTTTCTGGTGGTCGTTGACGACTTCTCCCGCTACACCACAGTGTTCCCTCTGGCGAAGAAGTCTGAGGTGACTTCTACGCTGATCAGGTGGTTTCTCACCACCGAAGACACTCGTGGTCGTCGTGTCAGCTGTCTCCACTCCGACCGTGGGGGTGAGTTTCGCTCCGGCATTCTCGCTGGATTCTGTCGCGAGCAGGGCATTCGTCAGTCCTGGACGCTTCCAGAGTCCCCACAGCAGAATGGGGTTGCTGAGCGCCGCATAGGCCTGGTCATGGAGATCGCCCGTACCTCCCTGACTCACGCCTGTGCCCCCCATTTTCTGTGGCCCTACGCGGTCAGGTACGCCGCGCACCAGCTGAACCTCTGGCCACGTGTCTCTCGACCAGAGGTTTCACCGACCAGTCTTTGGACAGGGTCCCCTGGTGTTGCGTCGCGGTTTCGTGTCTGGGGGTGCTTGGCTCTTGTCCGCGACACCTCCGCGGACAAGCTCTCGCCTCGTGCCGTCCCCTGTGTCTTCCTTGGTTTCCCTGAGGACTCCTCTGACTTCACCTTTTACCACCCTCCCTCTCACCGGTTCTTTGACTCCCGTGACGTCCGTTTTGAGGAGTCCACTCCGTACTACGTCAGGTACCCCAGTCGAGGTCTCCCGGTTCCTCCTCCCCCCCTCTTGCTGACTGCCGCTCCCCCTCCTGCTCCCCCGGTACAGCCTCCCCCCCCTGGCCCAGCCCCGTCAGGTGTGTCCCAGGCTACCCCTCCTCCTTCGGTAGCCCCTCCGGTACAGCCTCCCTCCCCACAGTCCTCCTCGCAGCGTGCCGCTGGTGCTAGCTCTCGAGAGGTTGGTGCTGCGCCTGTTCCTGTACCGGTTTCTGGTTCTGGGGGTGCTGGAGTTGGAGCTGGTGTTGGAGCTGGTGTTGGAGCTGTAGGTGGAGCTGGTGTTGGAGCAGGAGGTGGAGCTGGAGGAGGCACTGGAGTTTCTGGTTCTGGGGGTGCTGGAGTTGGAGCT